TTTAAAGAGTCATTTGCAGACATCATTACCCTTCACCCCTACATACTTTGCACGTCTTATCTCTCCTGTGTAACTGCGGCAGCCTGTCACACCCGGGAGTGACACGCCAGGGCACCAGTGTCATCTCAGCACCATCCAGATGCTGTTTTCCCTGTTGTCCCTGAAATATCCTTCAACCTGCTCCCTTCAGCCTGCAGAGGATCCAGCCTCAGCCAGGATCACACGCTTCCTCTGGGTGTCGTGTCTCCCTAGTCTCCTTGTAATCTGGAATAATCCCTCTGCTTTTCTGTTTCTATCTTCATGACACTGACTTTGTTGAGACCAATCTGGAATGCCTGGCTGTTTCCTCCCGATGAGGTGTGCGCGTGTGGCCAGGTGCTGCTGAGGGAAAGGACTGTGACCCCGGGCCCCAGCCTGATGGCCGGATTAGGGTGGAGTTTCTGGGTCTCCCATCCTGTTTGTAATTACTCAGTCACCTGTGGGTGGTTCTTGGGACTGGACGTCCTGTCCCTCAGCAAACCTTCATGCAGGATGACCCTGTGGGTCGTTGTCTAACTCTGCTGTTCCTTCCGCACTGACTGGTAGTCATGGGTGACAGCTTTCCTCGCCCCCCACCCTACCCACCGTTGTACTATCACTATGAGTTCCTGGCTTTTCATTAAAATTCAGTGTGCTGTAATCAGGACCATCATTATTATTTTCTGATGCTCAAATTGTCTCAAATTTGGCCAATGGGGGCTCCTTCGTGCTGGTTCCTGGTTCCTTTGAACCCTTCCCCATCTTCCTTGAGCCCTTCCTTGCGTTTCAGCACTACGAGAAGTTCTAGCCATTTCTCCAGGGTGCCCCAGCTCGTTCCCTCTCACTGGGGATGGGATTTAAAATCAAGATGTGCTCGCACTGCCCCCGGGGTCTCCTGGCCTCCAGACCCTTTCAGCGGACAGAACAGAGCCAGGGAAAACCCTCAAGTTCACTCTGATACTGCTAATTAACATCCCAGATCCTGAGCTCCACCCTCGCCTTTCTCATCCCACACTTGGCTCTCTCCGCTCTCTGCGAACACCCTGGTTCCCAGTGACATCAGCGTGTCTCAGTCACACCGCCCAGGTTCAGAGTCTCTGTGCCCTCCCACCGCCTCCCGGCCTGCCAGGCAGGCTCAGGACTTCCTTGCAGATCTTCCTGCCCTTCAGCAAGGACCGGGGATGTATAGTCAGAGTGCTGTGGTCTCGAGCTACTTGAACGGTTCTTTCCTTCCTGGGCATGACCGTGTTCCTATAAAGCTAGATTTACCGAAGCCGGCGCAGGCTGGCGTAGCCCGAGGGGCCTTGTTTGCAGACGCCGGTCTAGGCTGTAATCCCAACAGAGCAGTGGCTGGCGCAGGGTAAGCACCTGGTAAATACCTGTGCCTGGATCACAGAGGCTGAGAGCGCCTCCCGCGTGGCAGGTGGGCAGGTGGCCTTTCTCAGGGTGATAGATAGAGGCCTCTTAGCAGTTAAGGCAGGTCACCCCACTCCTGGGCTTGCCAGACTGTCCAGGGATGAGGGGACCGGTCCAGAGGTGACAAATGGGAAGCCATGGCCTGGGATGGGGGGTAAGCCATGGCCTGGGATGGGGGCACCAGGTGGGCAGTATTTCACCGCAGCCTGGTTGAGAGGGGAACAGAGCTGGATGGGCTAGTAGCCTCCACCAGCAACGAACGCCGAGCTCCTCTGTGGGTAAGTGAATACCCTGTGTTTGGAAAACCAGGTGAGCTGCGTGGCCTGCCACCACCAAGCCCAGTGGGCAGCGAGGGCTGGGCCCCCTGCCAGCCCCCCTCACCCTGAGGTCCCTCAGCCCAGTCTGGGACCTGTGATGCCAGCGTGTCTTTCTGGTTCCACCTGCTCTCTGTCCTGTGGCCTAGAAGGCTCAGCCAGGACTCCAGGCTCCTGGCGTGAGGAGGGTTCGTGGGGACAGGCCCAGTGTCCCAGGAGCCCAGAGGGGCTGGGGCCAGGGCTGGAGCTGCTCTGTTGTTCCTGCTATAGATTCCTGCTCTTTCCCCTCCTGCCTTGCCCCTTCGGGATTGGCAGGTTTGCACAAGCCTTCTGCAAAGCCCTTTGGGCCTGGAGACAGACTTGTTATGCCACCGGAGAAATGAGCCCGGATTTCCACTACCGACTTCTCTTTTAATTAGATTCTGACAGCAGCATGCAGGGCTGGCTGGCTGCAGAATCAGGTGCAGCTTTCCGTGGTCCCAAGCCTCTGGGTTTCAGCACGTTTGGCTTTTTCGGAGGCAGGAAATGCTTTGCCCTTTCCTGGGGGGTCGGGCAGGAGGAGGCTGACCGCATGCGTGTGAGCGCGCAGCCGCCGCTCCTGGTGTGTGCATGTTCGTACATTCGTGAGCGAAGAGGGCATGCTGTGTTTTGGAAGGGTCTGCAGACAAAGCATGCCAGGTCTCCCCACCATCCCGCCGGCCATGCCTTCGCCCATCTGCTTGCCCACGTTGGCGCTGCGGGGAGCCCCCTCGGCCTCAGCGTTGTCATCTGTGATTGGGGTTGATGGTCCCTCAGCTGGCTCTCCCCAGCAAGGCCTCTCGGGAGGTTTCCCGTTCGAACCAGGGCATTCCTCCTGGCTGCTTCCTGCAGGCTGGTTCAGCAAAACAACAGACCACCTGCGGGGCTCCTCGAAGGAGTGCTCCTCTTAGGAGGAGAGAACCGAAAACTGCACTGCCAGGGCTGTGGCCGCAGACGCGGGGTGAAAGGCCAGAGAGCTGGGGATTCTCCTCCTCCTCTCCTTCCCCGCCCCTCCTAAGGGGTGCCTTGGCTTCCTTCCGCCACAGCCTCCCTCGTGTCGCATAGCTCAGCCATCGGGGACTGGCTCCGAAAAAGCAATTTTCTTGGACAGCTCACAGCCCTGCCCTCCTGGGCCCTGCGTTCTGATCAGGCGCCAGCACGAAGCTCATTGGCTTTGCTCCCCACAGAGAGCCCCTCACCCCCGCCAAGCTTTTCTTTACCTCGGTGGGAAACGTCTTATTGATTCGAGCCAGGATGGAGCAGGGGCTGGGGCCAGGGCTGGAGTCCCATTCCCAGATCCACCCTGGGCCTTCCAGCCAAGACCGGGAATCCAGCCTCCCACCACTTCATTGTCAGACGGAACTTGGTTCAAAGTCAAACAGATTGTTTCACTCGCCAGCTCAAGCCCCTCCGGCGTGTAAACAAAATCCAGACTCTTCACCACAGATTCCAGGGCAGCCTGGCGTGGTCTGGCCCTGCCCGCCTCTCCTGCCTGTCTTACCAGCACGCTCCCCTGCGCCGGTCCTCAGTCTCCATCTCATTCCTGCCTCAGGGCCTTTGCACTTGCTGTGCCCCCTGCCTGGCGTGCTCCCCCCCTCCTTCCAACCGTCCCAGGGCTGTTTCCTTCATGTTATTTATCTCTCTGACTGCATGCCACCTCCTGGAGAGACTTTCCCTGGCCCAGTCTTAATGTCACTCAATATTTTTTCTGTGCGGTGGTTTTCACTATTTGAAGTCATCTTTATTTGTTCTAATTGTCTCCTGCACTGGGAATATTTGTTTCGTGAGAGTGAGCCCTGTGGCCTTCTTGTCTCTCTCTGTATTCCCAGCACTCAGACCCTCGCTGGGCTCATAGTAAGGACTTAACATCTGCTGAATGAATGAGACCTTACTAGTCTCTCCTCACCCAGGTCCCTATAATCCTCATGACAACTTATACTTACAAACAGGGAAACTGAGGCCCTGGCCTGTGAAGCTGCCAAGAAAAATCAGATTGAATAGAAGATCTGATTCTAAATAAATGTTCCACCCAATCTTCCTGCAGTCTTGGGTTTCCACCAAAGACGTGTTATTTATAGGAAAAAATGGAAAACCAAGAAAACTAGAAAAGAGGAAAATCACAGGCCCTTTACTTCCCCTAGGTTTGGACGCAACTTTTTCTTTTTTGCACCTACTATGGCACTCACATCTTTCTGTGTTCATCATACGGAGTCTGTAAACTTGACTTTAGAGGGACATGGGACAGTCTGACGAGTGGGTTTGCCAGGGTCGCCCCCGGTGGCTGTGTGTTCAGCTTGTTTCTGGTTTGGTGTGCTCGAGTTAGTCCCGATTGGAGTGACATCTCAGTGCTGTGGATGGAATTCCAGTGTCCGCCCATTCATTCTTTGACCAAATTCTCCTGGGCCCTGGGCCTGTTCCAAGCAGGGGTGCTACGGGAGGGCGAGGCCCCGTGTCTGTCCTTGGAGCTCACAGTCCAGTGTGGAAGGCGGCTAAGGAGAGCCACGGAGTGGCGTAGGTGTCCCCGGGCTAGACAGCGGAGCATGGCACTCAGAAGGAAGTGGCCGGGCCCTGGGGGTTTGGGGCAAGCTTCATGGAATGGGGAGGTCACCCTGATGCGGGGTCTTCAGCTGTTGAAGGCCAACGGTGGGCGATGCGTGTTGCGGACGTGTCATCGCGAGGGCAGGGGGGTGGCTCCGTGGCGTGCTCCCAGCACTCACCCGGCGCCCGCCTGGATCGGCCTGGAGCTCAGGGAGCCTCACGGAAAGTCAGGAGTGGGAGCAGAGCCTCGGCCTCGAATGCCGAGTTAGGGAACTGGGACTTTCCCCAGCCGTGGGTGTATCTTCTTTTAAAAAAATAAGGAGTTTTGCTGTTTGTTTTAAGATCAAGATTATACATACGCTTCCAGGGGAAAAAAAATCAAATAGCACGGAACGGTTTATCCTGGAAGGCCTTTCCCCCTCCCGTCCAAATCCCACTTTGCGGAAGAAAATACTTTCCACCTGTTCTGCTTTTAATCCTCCCAGCACTTTCCTTAGAATTCTAATTAGGTGACTTTGCTGCTGCTTCATGTAGTAGTTTTGGGACGTTCTGGTTCAGAGGCCGGGTTAGCTTGTGCACTCGAGGAAGGTGCAAGCGGCTGACCCTGACCCGGGGGGGCGGGGGGCGCGGGGGCGCCAGGGGCTCGGCTGGCAGCCCTGGACCGGCCCGACCCCCACCCCCACCTCTGTGCCACAGCAAAGCTTCGAGGCGCACCAGGACGAGGCAGTGAGCGTGACGCACATGGTGAAGGCGGGCAGCGGCGTCTGGATGGCCTTCTCCTCCGGCTCCTCCATCCGCCTCTTCCACACCGAGACCCTGGAGCACCTGCAGGAGATCAACATCGCCACCAGGACCACCTTCCTCCTGCCAGGTGGGCTGCCCCGGGGAGGGAGGGAGCTGGGTTCCTGGAGCCCCTCCGCGGCCAGGTAGTGGTCGGCCCAGCCCTTAACCCTTTTGGCGGCCCTCGGTCAGCCTTGAAAGCCGGGTGCCAAAAGGGGTACTCCCTGGGAATCGTGGGGTCGGGATTCGCACCCAGGCCCGTGCCCAAAGCCCTCTTCCTGTCACGCCTCCCTGCCCCCCTGCCACGGCAGCCGGGCTCTCAGGACGTGGGCTCTCAGGACGTGGGCTCCGAGCCCGGTGGCCGCTCCCGAGTCAGGCAGCGCTGAGAATGGGCCGAGCCGGCGGGATCCCAGGCCTGTCTACACAGTCCCACCCCTCGGGCTGACCCCAAACCCAGATCCCTTTCAGAATGAGGGGACAGGAAAGCAAGGCTAGCCAAGGGTCTCTTTCCGTGAAGGCTTTCCTAAGGAGAGGGCAATCTCCCTCTTGGTTTGCTGGCCAGGGGGTGTGGACGGCATCC